GTCAAACGAATACACCTGTGTCCGAAATTGAAGACATGTGGGTACCCATTCATTAGCAACCAATGGTATTTACTTGTGCCTCGATACTGATTACGCTACCGTCACAAGGCAAACAATTTACCTGGGACAAACAATTCGCTGCTCAACATCCTGTAGCAACATGTGACGTCACCGAACCGAAATCGAGGCTTATTTGGTTGGCAAGCAATTTAGCGTTGGCGCCAGATTACCAAATTTACGGATTTCAATTAGACATTTCTTAGTAACCAGCAGTGATATTGGACAAACTAATACGCGTTTGGCTATAAGGTAATGTACTTATTAACTACACAAGGTGCCAGTTATTCTAGCATTCGTCAACGTTGCATAATCGATGGACCTACTATTCCTTTAAATGCAAAACACGAATCGGTAAATGTGGTTAGGTTGCAGCACCCCTATCCTGGGTTTGGGTTACATTATTGTATCTACCCTCAGTGAATCAGTTGAGTTGACAATAACTTAGTAAAACATTGCGATTACGACCATGTAACACGTAAACAAGGATGGACTGAGGTACTACGGACTTAGAGCTAAAGCCTATACTTCTTGGTTATAATTTATTTATAACAGGACGTAGCATAATTAATCTAATAATCATTTTAATACTCACTTCACTCAAACTCAGAGTACGCGATACGCAGGTCGAGCGATGCGAAGCGAGCGAATACAAACACGCGCGCGCCTGGTGGAAATCGTGGATGAGGATTTGAATGCTCTTTTGTCAAGCTACGTGTAAACAAATTCGTATGTTCCACGTGTGACGGTGTGTGACTGTCACATATTTTTAACACTTGTTACTTGTGTGAGGTGCATATTGCATCTAACGCACTGAGACCATGCAGGCAAGTAAACCACGTGTCAACTTATCACGTTGGTCACGCTGGACACTATTTATGCGTGCGTGGATTGTACAAACTAGACGTGGAATGAGACCTAAACGGCATAAACTGAGCTCCGCAAGAAAGCGGGTTACAATGGAATGTAGACAACCGCGTCGCACAGAGTCGCGTGGTCGGCTAACCATAAGTACTGACACTCACGTCCTAGTACTAAGGCCGAGGACTCTAGCTACTAGCTAAAGGAAGCTCATAGTACCTCGATAGACCCGCGGATCCAGTTGACCATTTGCGTAGATTACATCTATGGCAGACAGTGCTATCAGCCCTGCGGCAACGATCCGCGGCTATTAGTATAGTACTACACGAGACTAGGGTTACAATGTGAATGTATAAGCAATCCCGCCACACGCAAGCCGTCCGGGCTAGACCTAAAACGCAGCAGTAACCCAGGCTCCACTTCCTACTCTGCTACACACTCTAGCCCAAGAAACGGTCTTCGCTAGGTTACGACAGACAACTCCCAGCCTGGTCGGCTATGCACAACTCACGACACAACGCGGCGGCGCCGGGCCGCACACACAAGCGCTGACACTGACAAGATGTGACAATGGTGACAAAGTACTGAAAAAGTCAACAATATTTTAGAATATCTAAATCAGATGATAATGATATGACATGATACATTAATCATATAGTGTGACACGCACGACGTACTAGTGACGTATGTTAAAAGTAGCTACACACCAAATGTTAAAGTGAGCTCATCAATCGCCAAACTCGTTTACCAAATGCAGTCAACTCCTGCAAGCACGTGTGGCATAAGGCCTCATAGCGTATAAAAAAATAGTATTGTATGTGACACATTATACAGCTGTGCAGATTCGCCAGGCAATAGGTTTAGCAATAGAGTGTGGAAAGTAACAAAATCTCGTAAAGGATCTATGCTCAACGAGCAATGCAAATCTGGGCAATCCAGTAATACTCCTTACCATACGTCACATCCACATTCATACCACCACAACAGCTGTATATGCATATCAAATAATATTATGGTATGACACATCACCAATAGTGTCACACCACCCGCACACACATTACACATATCCGTACAATCTGACAATGAAATATCAGCACTGGCTAGGCCTATATAGATATAGATATTGATACTAGTTGAAGTCAATTAAATATATCCTGAGACCGAAGTAGCCACTAGAGCGAGCATGAAATTTAAACTCAGCATTTACCTACTGCAGGCCTCACGGAAAAATTTTGAGCCACTTTGGCAAGTATCGAAAAGCTATAGTGCCCGACCCT